ATTAAAAAATAAAAAAATTTTATTAGTAGCATATATTAATTTTAGTTAAAATTTTAATATACCATGCATAACTATATAAAAATGATCTACGTGCCCCCTACCCTTAAAAAAAATCAATATCAAAACAATAAACAAGTCATTTAGATTTTTGTCATAATCACTTAGTCATTCTGTCATCCATCATTCAGTCACATAATTACTTACTAAATTTAAATTCTAACATATTTAAAATTAAGTGACTAATTATTAAGTCATCTAAATCGCTATGGTCATCAAAAGTAAGGATATTAAATTGCGAATCCAGTCCGATTCGGTCCTAGGATCTAAAAAGACAGTCTTGAACTCGATCCTTTAAATCACATAGAACTTAGATCCTATAAAATGTATTGTGTTTTCATGTGATTTAAGGACCGAGTCCTTACCGATCCTGCAGGTCCTGTAAGGACCGGTTAGGATACATCCCTAATCAAAAGTCACTGTCCATCCGAAACCAGAATATTTGGTTTTGGATTTGAAACCGTTTTATTTTTAATATGCTAAAACCGATTCTAGCATGCTACTATTGACCATTGTTTATAGTGTCGCATATTTACTACTTTCAATGTTAATACAATATCCTCAAAATATAGTACTCAGCTCTTCATAATATCCACAGGTCTATTCGATTTTAGAATGAAGTTCTGAGTAGAACTCGGGTACTGTGATATACATGAGATCAATTTGAGTTAACCAGACTAAAATGTTGAACTTTCCAAATTATTTAACAATGAGAACTAATAAATTCATTATTTGAATATCTGATATCTGGCTAAAAAGAAAAACAAATAAAAGTGCAAAATAAAAAAAATAAAACAAATAAAATAAAAGAAAAATCTATAGTAGTTCTGTATCTTTTAAAGTTTGTTCAAATCAATGAAAAAGGTGGTGATACCGTATGATATACTTTTGTTACCTATTATTGTTGCCTTTGACCTCCTGTAGACATTAATACAAGTTTCTTCTTTTTCTGTTTCTTACCAACGTATACTTCCTCTTCTTTAAAGTCCCATCCATCGTCAACAAAAGCATCTTCATGCTTAACCAAGTTTTTGCCGCCAGCAACATTAGCAAAGGATGCAGCGGGAGTTCCCCAAACGGTTTTTGGACCATTAAACGAATTGTTTGGATTGTTGTTTACATGATTATTACTGAACTCCATTTCAATAGAAAGTTGTGATATTGTGCTGTTACTATTGCTAGTTTCACCCGATAAATTCGGTTGGAAGAAAGAATCTGTATTAAAAAATTCTTGAGTGTTTCTACGGTGTCGTTCTTTATGCGCAGCTTTTTCTTCCTTTCGGGCTTTTTCTTTACGGCGATTTTGACGTTGTCGAAGCTCATCTTTTTAAGATAATAAAATAATCATATTATATTAGGCTTATAAGTCTTATTTAGACTTAAATGATAAATGAACGTACTTGCAAATATTTCTAATGTGGAATCGGTAACCACTCCTTTTAAGTCTACCTCTAAAAACGTTACGTCACAGCTTAATGGCAAATGACTAAGATACTTGCATCGTTTTCTAAATTCCTGAAAATAAATAGAAAAATTATGAATGTGTTCATCAAATTTAAATATAAGGAACATGTAAAATAAATAGATAAACAACATACCTCTGTAATTGTAGATTCTTCTACATTAACAATTCGTACTGATATCTCATTTGGGAATTGTTCGTATGTTCCAAACTCTTGTTTCAAGATTCGAATATCCAATGGATGTAAATACGCATGCTGACCATCTTCTGATTGGTAAAAATAGTATGTACAATCACTATAAGCAACAGGTTGTAAAACTTTTGTTTTCTGTTTTGGTTCAGGAGTCGATTGAGAGATATAAGCAATATGAGATTGTACTCTGAATTCATCAGGCAAAAAAGCCGGTGGGCTATTTCCTGAATCAGATAATGAGCCAGGATTATTACTTTTATCTGATAAAATGTTGGTTATAGGATCAATTTGTGTGGATGTAGTAGTATCATATAGTACTTGTTTGTCTAATTTCTTATGCTCTGAATTTGAAGAAATTTCGCCTGTTTGATCGGTAAATGCACGATTAAATTCAACCTGATTAATTAATTCACGAGCACGCCATTCAGCTTGAATAGCATCGTCACTAGACAGTTTTTGAAAATTTTCTAAACGTTCCTGCATATGATAAAGTTAAGTATTATGTATTGAACATCAAGTTTAAAGTTGTCAATTACGTGTTATATTATACCTTAACATTGACAATAGCCATTTCGATAAACGGAATTTCATCGTCAGAATTCCAGTTTTTGACATCTTGTAACGCATTTTGAAGATCTTCTAAATCTCGATTATATTCTTTTTGCATATAATCGAGTGATGCAAGCATCAATTTTGAGAAAATAAGGACATCAGGAATAAAATGCCATGGTGCAGAGGAATTCGAAAGCATGTCATTGTTAAGCATCCAAGTTGACGAACGAGGTAGTGCAATCGTTGAGTTCTATATTAAAATCGTAAATAATTAGACACTATAATAAATTTATCACGCAATAACGTTACTTTACGCAAAGTCATACAGCATTTCGTTGAATGAGGCGCATTGTGATCATTTCATCTCTCTTAATCGTTTCTCCATCCCCGACTTTTCCAATATTTCTTACGGACCAAAATCGTACACTCTTGAGATCTTTGGCGTATACAGCATCCCAACAAATGGGACATTTACGCCATTTCTTATTAGGTCTATCCTTCTCATCAATCAACATCAAATAATGAAGAATACATGAAAGACAATAAGAATGGCCGCATTTGGTCACACGAGCAGCGGTTGGTTTTTGTAAGCAAATTGGACAACTTGGAGTAGTAGGAGTTGTGATGATCTAAAGCAAAAATGGGTTTGTAATCTAGAAACAATTTATAATATTAAAATATCATAATAATATGTTAAATTTAGCTTACAACTTGTTCGATAGTCTCCCATTGCAGTAAAAGATCTATTATAAAATTTATCATTCAGATGAATAATTGCAAAATAAATAATAATGTTAAAATACTTTACATACCTGGGTCAAATTTATAAACAGAATAGTCACCAATTGAATTGACAAGAAACCGAAAACTATTAAAATAATAGATATATATTTAAGTAATAATCATTTATGATAATAATATTAAAATGTTTACTTACTTGGCATTGACAAAACGCTCTTTATTAAATGGTTGATAATTAATAGCTTTTTGTTTTCGTGGAGTACTGGTAACAGAACGTTGACGTGGTGGGAATGAGAAATTCAAAAGATGATTAAGAGAGATCTGTCCTCTTTTATTAGGTGCTCCATACGACTATAAAAAATTGGATCACAAATTAATCTGTATAACATATTTTATAGTTATGCAAACCATTATAAATAAAAAAAAGTAATTTTCACTTACTACAGGATTCGTATCATTTAATGACATCTCATCAAATGCTGACACGGTAGTTGCGATAGAAGCCTGCAAATTTTCGGTATTATTTACTTTGTTATCATCACCCGAAAGATGGGTTGCGGTTCTATCACAATTTCTCGAATTTGCATTATTAGACTGATTGCGTTGATGGTGATTCGATTGACGTTTTTGTCTACGATGAGGATTACTGTTCCTCTTGTTATTGTTATTCACGCTCGATTGAACTAAATTGATATTATATTGAGAGATTAGATAACTAATAATCAAGATCACGTGCAATTGAAAATCTCTAACGCAATTCAGATTACCATTTTGATCTCCTTGGGCGTGATTACTCTGATTTTTCGAAACAGATCTTCTAAGGTCAGGCTGGTGCAAGATCTGAGCTCGCGAGACAAGAGGGGATGAAGAATTTGTCCTGGATGACACGTTTTGCGGAACGAACGCGGGGGCGTTTATGTTCATCGTGGATCCGGTGATAATAATCGTTGTTATAAGATGTACGAGGATTTTGTGGTTTTCTCGGGGAAAAAAGTATCAAATAATTCCAATTACTTGATGCAATAATGGTTTCCAGTGATAATGCAAGGATTAAAGGATATAACCAATTTGGAGGATATAAATTATACAAAGAATATATGTCGTTTGACTTTTTCCGGTTTTTCTTCTCTAAGTGGAGAAAAATCGGAAACGCCAAAAAGAATAAGTTATTGTTTGGTAAAAACCAGTTTAATGAAGTTCTCTTGGAACTAGCAATGAAGTTTGTCAATAATAAAAATAGTATTCGCTCCATTTAGAAAAAAATTAATTAAAGGAATCCATCCTGTACAAAAATAATAATAGTAATAATAGGTATATTAAAAAAAATAAATAAATAAATAAATAAAAATTAAAAGCTTAATTAAAAAGAAGTGATGTTAATTATAGAAAGAGAATAAAGAAGATTGATTTGCTCTTCCTTTTCTCTTAATAAGATATATGAACTATAGGTATTTGCTTTCTCGCAAATATAAGCTAATCCAGATAATGTAAATATTGGTGAGGCTGATAACTGCGCGAATTGAAAGATTTATAATAAGTGGAAACCTTTAAGTGCTTTGGTTTAAACTGTCTCTGTGCGTTATTGCTAGAAAACCGATGGGAACAGAGATCAATGTGCTTTTACGGTATAAAATAAATAGTTGTCGGAGCCGCAAGATAATATCCAAGAACTTGGGCAAATTCAAGTTCAAAGATACTGCGAAGCTTAACCACTTTCTTTATTACCACGCTCTGTACAACCGTATCACAATTTATTTAACGAAATTCACGTGATTGTCTGTAATAGGTTTTTTTTATATTATTGTTATGAAATAAAAAATGATAATATACAATAAAAAATTTATTTCAATACTAATATAGAGGCACAATCCTCTAAATGTTTACCTCAAAATAGTCCCCAAAAGAGAGAACCTAAACTAATAATGCATAATGTTTTTGGCAGTGTTTAAAATTTAAAATAAAAATTATTTACACAAACATATATTTTATATATATTTTGTGCAGCTTTTTTTTTTTAAATTTTACTTGCACATTTATTAAATTTAAAAAAATCTCTTGCACATGTACATCGGGTAGGGTGGGTACCAATTTTAAATGGCTTTCCAAGCCTTCGATAATTCGAAGGCAGATGCCAATGTCCCAAAAACCCCAACACCGATCTCTGGAAAACTGGAATTTTCTACAGACCAATGTAACTAATAAATGATAAAAAAATAATTTTTTTAGTTACGAAAGAATATAATTTCGTCTATTAATATATGTTATTTACCGTGAGCGGAAGATACCCCATGTTAATAAGAGTGTCTTGAAAAATTCTATCACCTTCAGCTTTTAGCTGGCGTTTCTGCTTTTGTACAACTTCCACATCATCATCTAACCTGATGTCTCGCCTACGTCGTGTAAGCAAGCTTTGTTCCTGCGCCAGATGGTAGAATTGTAACAAAACGTATATGGCCCACCATCTGCAGGACCATATACTAAAACGGTTCATACGTTCGTCTGACATTATGATGACTTTTTTATAAGCCTATAGTAGTAAAAAGTTTATAATAAAGTTAGTAACAGTCGAGACGAAATAACCCGAGAATTTTATGAAAAGAGACCACAAACCAAGTACCAGATGTGTTCTAATGGATAATAGAACACCATGGTCAGGTTCTGTAATCGTTTAATGTTAAGCAAGGGGGGTCGCTCATGTTCTATCTGAATCATCCATTTTATAAGTGGAAGGAGACCATAGAAGAAACTATTGAAAAAGTAAATTTCGTTAATAATAACGAAATTTATAATTAATAATATTTTTCTAAAGGAAAACACACTAAATCGAAGTTCATTTATTCTATATTGATTGAATAAGAATAATACCTATCCTACTTCTTGTTTTATGGGTAAAGAAGCCTGTGAAAAAACTCACCGTATAACAATCCTAATGTCTGTTACTGGGACACCTAGGTTGTTGATGCGTTCAGCCAGAGAGGTCCTGCCAGCACGCACACTAGCCCATTTGAGGACTATCGAAAAGTATTGTATCAGCTACATATATAAAGAAAAGAAGCATCTCTTTAAGAATTGTGGAACTCGATCTTTTTCATAGTGATTAAGGTTAACACGAAAAATACCGCTAAAACTTTGTCAAGACCCGACACTGTGTTAAGGAATTCGACATAACGATTTAGGGTGGGGCTAGGACGTAAAGCCAGTGGTCTGTTGAGGACACCCATCAGAGATCGCGTAAAGGTTGACCGAAATATATAACAGTAAGACAAGATAACTAGGATTATCATAGATTATATCACCAAAAATAATGGTATATGTATATTTTTCACAATTAAGTACGTACGTACGTACTAAAAGTACTAAAATGTGGTATTTTATGATCCTTACTTACATGTATATTTATTAAAATTAAAAATTATATCCAAATCTCTTTTTCATAGATTTATACGTAATGAATTAAAAATGAGTTTTCTAGAATCGCGTGAAATAAACGTGAACTAAAGTTCCCTGCAACCATGACGTGCACGTGACATTATTGTAAATTAAAAATTGAGACGTAATAATTAAGATCAGATTATATGATATGGTAATATATCATTACGTACGCGCTTTCAATTACTTATTAAAAGTATACAAATAATGTACTTTTGTAATACGTATTAACTTTCCAATTTCTTAATTACGCCACCTCTATCAATAAAATTTTTAATATGTCCTTTAACACTATCTGTAACACTATCAGCGGTGGTACTTTTTCCATAAGCGTCAATAAATTGACCATTCGGATCCATTAAATAAAAAAATATCGAATGATCTACCAAATATTCGTCACCAGGCTTTACCTTAGGTGGACGACTGAAATAAACTCGATAGCTTTTGGCAACTTTTGCTATTTGCTCGTATGTACCTGTGAGTCCTATCATATCCTTGTGAAAATCTGAAATGAATACAAAAAATTTAGACATAGATAACATAAATAACATAGATAACATAGATAGAACGACTATATATGATATTAAAGTTATACTTGCCCTTTAAGTATTCTTTGATAACCTCATATGTATCTCGGTGTGGATCACATGATATGAAAATTGGTGTCATAATTTTTCCGAATTTTGGATCATTATCTGTTAATCAATACGTATTTAAAAAATTGTATTCATATAAAACTTATGATAAAGAAAATTTTATTACTTACTGATATTTTCCGTGACTGTTGACATTTTATCCAATTCTTCTGGGCAAATGTCAGGACAATGAGTAAACCCAAAATATACTAATAAAAATTTGCCAAGGAAATCTTTATCCGTAACAACATGACCATTATGATCAACTAATTCAAAAGGACCACCAATTTGTGGTTTTCCGACTGATCTATTTTCTAGCTCTTCCTTGCCTTCAAGTCGATATTTTATAAGATAATCAAAAGCGAGAAATAACAATAAACATGGAATATATTTATATATGTGAACACATACGTTTTTCTATTAATTTTGCTTTTTCGTGTTTAAAGTAAAAGAATAACCCGACTCCTGTCATTGAAAACAATGCCAAACTTTTCCATGTAAACGGCTTTTTTAATTATAAAGTGATAGATGGTTAGTAGAATAATATAAAAAACAAAATAGGAAATTTAATTGATAAAAATTTCTTTACCCCCACTATATAACGATTTCGTAAAGATTCTTCAGACTTTATATTTTTCGGTTGTTTGGTATGTGTAGAGAATAATTTGTACTAAAATTTTAAGAATTTTTTTTTTGTTAAAATTAAATGAATTAATGATATGACTCTTGAAAGAACATTGCCATCAGTTCAATAAGAAATCACAATTATTATAATGGATAAGCTTTATAAACGAAAATAAAACGAATTAACTAGATTAAATTGAAAATTTGGTACATACACTACCTGTGTTCTATAAAAAACGCGTCGTCGGCATATACTGCCGAAATTCGTCAAAGCCTTTTTAACTTTTCAAATTTCAAAAAAATAAATTTGGTGATAGAATTGAAAGGCGAATTTATTTACATTCCTTACCTATGAATGCTGGCACTATTAGAGACATTTTGTAAGAAATAGTGGCAGAAAAAATTTTTTGATAATCTTAACAGGTCTACATAATTTGATACCAGCCAATAGGAAAAAGCCGAAATCCAAAAATAATTTATTTTTTTTACTCGATGAAGTACTTTAACCACTGCTTTTTTGTCTCCTTGGTTTATATCGTTCTTTTATTATCCGAACTTGGGAGATTAACAAAATAGAATATGGGAATATTTTAAAAAGTAAATCAACTCATTTTCTTTGAAACTTCGTCCTCGTCATTCAAAAATTTTATCTTGATAGTATTGGACATGATAATGAATGTACCTGGACAAATGTCCAATCAAATCATTGTCCATGGACAATGTCCAAATGTCCAGCTAATCCGATTGTCATTACTTCATTTGTCCATGGACATTGACAACAATGCATTGGTTTGTAATTTTTTATACAATCATAATATGCAACTTTTAGGTTGACAGGAACTCTTATGAGTTCAAAGCCTAACTTATTATAATATAATTAGTTAATTGATCTGATTTAATGATGGCCAATAAGGATAATATCACGTGGCAGACAGACATTCAACCAAAGGTCTTGTGTGGAGTGATTAGTGGAAGTGAAAAATTCCGAAATATACTGGTGCAGAAAGTCCGAAATATTTCAAGATTTTGCATCTACTTTTTTGATACATTCAAAACATACCTTGAAATTTTATACTTTTTACTGTTCGATGCATTATATAAGTTAGTAGTTAAATGTAAATAATGATAATTGTTCAATGCATTAAATATGTAATTATAAGTTAGTAGACAATAAAGTAAAAGACGTATAAATATAATAAAAAGCTTAAAACAAGTTTTTCTTTTTTATAAGTAAATAAATAAATATACAATTTTTACTGTTTAATTGTATATTTTGTAGTTGTGTAGTTGAAGATGTAAAAATAAAAAGAAAACATTATTGATGTAAAAGTGTAAACATAACTGAATAAGAACAATAAAGTATATTATTAACACTGTTTGATTATTAGAAAAATTAAACTATAAAAAAAAGTTCTGTTTTTTTTTTAATGTTAAGATGAGCACTTGTAATCTAGAATTTTATTGATAATATATAATTGTATCACAACAACTACAGAAAACAACCATAAAAAGAATATACAACTAGTTACTTGTACAACTTTAGTTATTGTCTAATTTAAGTAATTTGCTGTTATATTTAAAACCTGCCTGTTAGTCTTTTATTTAAATATTCTGATTCTTGTATTTACTTATTTATCTATCTTACTAACTGTCTTATTTTTCATTAGTACAAATATATTATGATTATTAAGTTTTTAAAGCAGTTTATTTATATAAGAAACTTTTGACTTTGTACTAAATCTACTAAAATCTTTTGGATTTTTATTTATAGTTAATCTAGTATTGCTATAGTCAAAATTAATATCTTTTTTTTTTTTTTAATATTAAGGTGACCACTTTGGTTTTTTGCCTTTTATTAATGACTTATTGGTAATATAATTCTATAAACCACTACAGAAAAAAATATAATTGGTTACATATATAACTTTTTTATATTACCTATTTAAGGAGTTACCTAAAGGTTTTTTACAAATTACTATATCTAATATCTCTGCTTAGATGTTTTATTTTAAATTTTTTGAACTTGTAACCTGTATTAATTTACTAAGTCATACTAGATAACCAAATTATTATCTCAACTTTAAGACTAATTTATTCTCAAGATAAACTCTTCAGAGCCTTTTGTATTTATTTTTATAGTTAACTTAGGTATTATTATGACAGAACTAATACTTGTAGTTAGGGTTTAATCATTAAACCATTATACTCTTGTAGAGTTCATTCAAACCCTAGCATCTACTTTACAGAATATTTGAATTACTTTAGTATATCCTTGTCTGTTCTCTAAACTTCTAATCCAAATAGTCCAATAGGACTATAAACAGTTTATTGATATATTAGGTTAATCTGATATTCTTTTTCTCTAAAATCTAACAGCTTGGTTAATAGTATCTGCATTCCTCAGACTCTGATTCTCATCTATTTGGATATATTGACATTGGTATCTATTTCCTAAGACTAGCCTTTACAGTAGCATCATCAAAGATCCAGCTACCTCTCTACTCAAATCTTTTCAAATAGACTTCTTGTTACCTAATTTCAACAAATTTATATAACTATAAGGACTTATCTAGTGTTTGCACTACCTGATTATCAGTTTGTATTTCTCTATATAATGACAGACCTTGTTCTAAAAGACAATGTTATATAACTATTACAAGAATATTCTATGATCTGTTAGTCATGTTGATGCAACTGTTATTATAAGTATTCTAATTCAATTATTAGTAACAGTTGTTATAATATAAATATTATATAGATGATTATTTAAATTTTCATCATTGATAGAATTTGAACATCCAACTTACCACTTGGAAGGTTGACAATCTGACTACTTCATTAGGTTGCCATACTTTACAAAATTAATACTTGCAATTAGTATTAATTATTAAATTACAATATCTTTGTAGAATTTATATAATTCTAATATCTTTTTTTACAATTTTACTAGTATTTTATCTATTCTTACAAGTCTTTTTATATTATTAATCTAGTAAATTCTGTATAATATGATTTTATATCTAGATCAACTAATAATTTTTTTTATCTAAAGGTTTTTGCTTATACTAATTATCTGTTTTAAATTTTATCAGATCAAGATTTTTACAAGTAGTACTAGCAAAGATTATATTATTTTTTTACTTAAGATTTTTAAGCAGAATTTTTTATAAAATATAAAAATTTTAATAAAATTTTTAATCTAAATAAAACTTTAAGAAAAATTTTTAGTTTAAATAAAAAAATAAATCTAATTAGTTTTGAATAAAATTAAACTTATTTAAAATTTTTATTTTCTTATATTTTTTTAGTTTAGAAATTTTAGATTAATTTAATTAAAAATAAAAAATTTTATATTTTTTTAAAAAACTTGTTTTCAAAAAAAATTTATTACATTATATACTTTTTAATTTGTTTTTTAATAATAAATATATTAATTTATAAGTAGTTATTTAAAACATTTTTAAAAAATTATTTTACTAATATTTAGTTAATATATAATATAAAAATTTAAAATTAACAAATTTATAAACAGTACTAATAATATAAAAATTATATAAAACATTTTAAAAATTAAATAATTAAACAATTTTTTTAGATATATAAAATTAATTTTGAGATTAAAAATATATTTAAAAATAATTGAATAAAACTTTGAATTGATAATATATTAGTTAGTACTTTGAAGTTATAGTAGTCTGTAATTGAATGCGAAGCCCTGTGATTAAGTTTAAGTGCAGTACAATAATGAAAATAGGAATTCCTGAAAAGAGATCCAATTGTGAAGTGTAGGCACTATGTGTAACAAGTAGTTGTTACAGAAGGTTATGGTTATAGAAAGATTGTACATGTAAGTCCTTTAGGCTAGGGCAGCACTAACATCCTTATACCTCCTATATAGACAGTACTAACATTCTAGCACCCAACTTGTAGGATACTTGCTTGGAAGGATAATTAACAAATTGTGCAAATAAGTCCTAATTAGGATTCAAGAAGAGGATTTGATTAAAAGAGTATTCTGAAAGTAACTAAAACTAAAATGGTGAGAGAAGCAGTAAATACGAGAACAGACTATATAAAGAATTAGTTTAACCAAAAATTAGAAGCACTTCTGGCACAGCCAAAAAATCTAATTATAGAAGGAAAAAATCTTAGAAGTTGGTATATAACTTCCTTGTGCAATATAAAAGCACCAAATTAGGTTCTTGGTCATACCTATATAGAAGTCTTTGATGAACAAGACTGGGATCAACCAACCAATATGAGATAAGATCTGCAAGATAGTATGGCATTACTGGGGTTGGTGTAACTTCCTAGGGCATAACCAGAATTGCTTTGCAAATATTATTAAATAAGCTGGGAGCTTGCAATATATGGTAGTATAATATTACTAGAGTTGAAGGAACTCTCTAGTTATAACCAGAATTGTTCTGTTTGTAAGTGCAACAAGTCTCAGTCTCTACTATAGAAAGGAGCATTATGTTGAAGATTAAATGCAGCATCAAGTTACTATATGACGTTAAGACCTGGGGCATCTGCAAGAATGATAACAGCAGACCTGACTTGAGATTTGGATTGGTCAAAAAGACCAATAGCAGCAGCAGATCTGGCTTAAGATACAGGTTCTTTGCAAATTCTAGACCATTGTCAGAACACCTTAGAGGAATTAATAACAGGCATACCAAAGATGAGAAGATTATAAGGATCAAACATACCTGAGTAGGACCAATTTGAAAGTAATATAGTGACAAAAAGATGAGAAATATAGGAAACAAGGTAATACTAGATATAGTTAAATTAAGAGACAGAAGAAACAAGATCAGATAAAATATATGAGTAGGACATATGAGT